GTTAAGGCCCAGTCTTTTTCTTTCACCCTATGTTTTGTTCTCATTTTCTTTACTTCCCACTCAACTGTGAGCTTCTTGAGGCAGGGACAATGTCCCTTTGTGTCCCCATCTCTGGTGCCCAGCACAGTGCCTGCACATTGTAAACACATGAAGGAGACCCGTGTAGGGCTCTCTTACCACAGAAGATTTTGCTCCCCCTGTTGCTAAACTTGTAGCTCAGAAGTTTAGTGCCACACCCACGTTTCTCCAGACGTCTGTAGCAACAGTCGTGGACAGCACAGCACCTGGGAGGAGGACACACTGTTGGGGCTGCCTTCCCACAGCTCCAGGGGCCCTGGTGCCCCGTGGTCTCACCCCCTGGACCCTGGGAAGAGACTTGGTGACTTGGAATAGTCTAGGGCAGCGGTTCCAACATGCTGGCTCCTTATCCATCTGGACCTCCTGGGACTCTGTGCAGATGGGGCATCAGCACTGTCCTGGGGTTAAGGTGAGCAAAGGGCAGGGAGGGCTGGGGTGGCCTCACCGATCCGTGGCATCCTTGGGGGACCCTTTGCCACCCAGACCGCAGTGGCAACCATAGAAGCCATAACTGGTTGCGGCTTCCTTTCTTGTTGTCAACTTTATCATTTTCCGGAAATTCAGTATATTCCCATAAGCCTGCAGATAGCCTGGAAGGAAATCATCTGGTGATGGGGCTTGAGGCCCTGCGTCCTCCCCTCTGCTCCTCTCCCTCCCCCCATGGCTTCTGTCCTCCTCCCACTGAGAGAGGACTGCTGCAGTGGGAAGGGAAACTAGGGCTCAGGGGGGCTTCCCTCCCCCGATTGTGCCCCTGTGCTCAGAGATCAGGGTCAGCTCTTACCAAAGGCCATGATCACTGCCAATAGCAGGAGGGTCTTCATGTTGAGAGTTCTGTGTGGGACAAATGCAGACGGATTGGCCTGGATTCCTCTTCCAGCTGGCCCCAGCTTCTGCCCTGGCCCCTGCCCTCCTGCTCACACTAGATAACCCTGGAGCACACAGACACGCTCTTCCATCCCAAGCTAAGTCCAGGGGACTACCTCTGTCACATGCAGAGTACACAAGGAGTGACCTCCAACAACGCATGCGTTAGTGTGCGCACGCACACACGCGCACACACACACACACACACACATACACACACGTCTCCTCCTGACCCTTCCCAGCTCTGTGGGACGGTTTCGCACACATGCTGGTCCTCATAGCCATCAAGACACCCCCATGATTCACTAATGAGACCTCCCATGTTCCTCATCTAACAGAGAATATCGAGGAAGGTTGGAACCAGGTTCCTGTCAATAAACTGAGAGGTTCGCGGAATTAGAGGTTGTGTCCTCTCGTTAGACATATCATGCATGTCCCCATGCTTGGATATTTCATACATGGGGTCTGATCCCCAATATTTTTCTGCAGAACTAAAGCAGCACCCTCTCTCTGCATGACTTTCCAACCCTTCCACATAAACACATGCCCAAACACACACATATTCACACACATAGGCCTGCGTACACACACTCTTAAACTCACCCACTAGAGCAAACATTCTCTCATGCAATACACTTGCACATGCATGCAACACACATACTGTCGTGTACATGCCCGATTGTGCACATGCATGCTATGCACACACATGCCTCCATACACACGCATACACACGTGCACAACATGGCCCTGCTCAAAAGCAGAGAATGAGCAGCAGAGAATGAGAGAATGAGCTCTTCATGGGGCTTTAATTTCTGGGTATTTACCTCTCAGAGGCCGTCAGAGTTGATACCTCCAAGCGACTGTCTTGTTCGTTCTGAACTCCTCCCTTTAAATAGCTACTCCCTCTGGGAGGGTGGAGTTAATGAGGTGCAGGGATGGGTGGGAGCGGCCAACTGCTGGACTCAGAGATGGCACGCCCATGCCCCTGGGGAATCCCCTTCTTCCCCTCACCAGCTGGCAGGACAGAGTCAGGAACTGGAAAATCTTATGTGCCATTATCTGATGCCAGAATAAATTTCAGGTCATTTTGAAGTCTTTTCCGCTTAGCTCCTGACTAAGTAAGTTCCCGTAACCGGCTCTGGGTGTGACCACTGGTCAGTCACCTCACAGCAACCACTTGCAAGGGTGGCAAGGACGGTCTCTGTATGGGCTGTGGACTCATCTGCACAGCCCATGGGACCGTTTACTGAGCCAAGGTTGCTCCTTTCTTCTGCTACATGTGGCATTTAGCAGAAAGCAGGAAAGAAGACATTTAGCTTTATTCATTCATTCATTCAATCAGTCAATCATTCATTCACAGGAAGCATATGCTAAGCCTCTACAAAGTCCAGGACCCCTGTGAGCCTCTTGGGAGGTGATGGGGATGACACCCTAGTCACCACAGCACTGCCTCCACCTCGTCCCCTGTCCTCACCTGTTTGGAGATGGCTCTGATTAATGCTCCCTGGGTCTGTTGCTCCTTTTTTCTCCAGCCTTCAGGGATGCAGTGACTCCAGCTTTAATTCATAAAGTAAACATCTTTTCTCTGCCCTCCAGTATGTGCAAAGAATTTAGCTTTATGGGTCTTAAGTAAACGCTCCCTGACACCAGTCCTAAAAAAGTCAGTGTAGCAGCAGCTGCAGTGCTCCTGAACATTCCAACTGTCCGCACTCTCTCGATGCCCCTGCAGGTGTGTAGCCCCCAGGACTGCTTCTGGCTACTAAAACGTGAGCACAGGTACTGAGAGTCATTTCCAGGCTTCAAACAAGGGAAAAACCAGTGTAACTTCCCAATCTTTCTCTGCCCCTCATGTTGGAAACAGACATGGAGATGTCTGGGTGGCTGTCATGGCACAGATGACAGCTGTCCTGGAAAGCCCTGCAGCCCACAGCAGACTCAGCCTTGACACTTGAGATTGGTAGTAGTTGCAGCATTACCAAGTGTGTACTAACAGCCGCCAAGGCAGCTTTCCTGTTGAAAATGCAAGTTACTTTGTGTGGTAGACCCGTGTTATTGGTTGTATTGTGCCCCCCACCTTGCCCTCAATTCCTGTGTTGAAGTCCTTAAGCACAATATCTCAAAATGTGAGCTTCTTAGGAAATAAGGTAGACATGCAAGGGTAATTCAAAACATTCATGGAAAAATAGAATTAAAAGATAATATGAATCCTTCCAGGAACTTTTTGAAGACCAATCATAATTAATTAAGTTAAGATGAGGCTATTAGGCAGGCCCTATTTTAGTATGACTGGTGTCCTTGCAGAAAACATGGAGACACCCCCACGTCCCCCAGGGAGAACCACATGTGAAGATGAAGCCAGAGATCAGGTGATGCTCCTGCAGCCGAGGAACACCAAAGATTGGGGCAAATGTCCAGAAGCTCGGAGAGAGGGTGAAGCAGTTTCTCCCTCACCGTTCTCAGCAGGAGCTAAGTGTGCAGTTACCACTGGTCTCTTCCTCCAAAACTGAGACAACTGCTTCTGTTGTTTAAGCCACTCCGTTGCTTGTACTTTGTACCCAGTGCATAGCCATAGCAAATGAACACAATCTCCAGTGACCCCTGTCAGCCCCTCCACTCCTCTCAATCTAGGTTCCCACTCTCACAGCATTTGTTTTATGCCTAAATTGAGGTTAAGAGCTCTCATCCCCTGGAGGAGACCATCGCCTTTTGTTAAACACCTCGCTTTTGAAGACATGTTTCTGCAATAGGCAGAACTGTCCCTCTCTGCAACCCACACCCCGTTCATATATCCTGGTGGTACAGGCCCCGGTATCAAGTGCAGGCTTCAGGTGTAAGAATTGCTCCAAAATTCAAGCACTCTGGCGACGTCAACATTGCCTCTTCTTTTCTCAATCTTTTTAGAGTTTTTTTCAGGAAGCCAAAGTCCACGATTTGGCCTCTTGTGCATCCTCCTCCAGCCAAGGACTAATCGAGCACTTTGACGCAGGGACCAGAATAGGCATCGGTGCTGTCGTGAGGCTTACATTTTGGAGGGGAGGGACAGACAATAAGCAAAAGATGCGTGGAGTGAGTGGTGCAGCGTGCTCGTGCTGACAGCACCTCGGGGACAGAGCCAGAGATGGAGAAGAGGTCACAGGAGTGTGAGCAGGAGAGGGTGGGCTGCGATCTTAAACGGGACGGGCGTGCTCAGAGGGGAGGCGCTCTCAGCACAGACAGGGCTCAGGAAAGTTTTCCCAAATTGTTAATAATGAAAAGAATCAGCATATTGACAGTGGTTGTTTTCAATGTCAAGATAGGTTGAAAATTTGCTCCAACTCTCTGCTTTGTGATCGTTCATTTGTGAACGCGCATTCTCTTTTTAAACTTGATATTTTGAAGTAAATTTCCACTTCCAGAAAAGTTACAAGAGTGGAGTTATGGAACACCTGTCACCCGGCTTCCCTCACGCTGACGTTGGCCACAGCCGTGCCACAATCACGGAAACCAGAAAACTAAGACGATTAACTGACCTACAGATCCTAATGGAATTTTGCCGGTTTTCCTACTAATGTCTTTTTTCTGGTCTGGAAGCCAATCCAGGATCCCACATTATATGTGGTTTTTGTGTCTCATTATCCTGCTCTGTGACGGCTCCTCTCCCTTCTTTGCCTTCTATGACCTTGACCCTGTTGAAGAGAACTGGTCAGGTTTTTGTACAATACCACTCAGTTTGGGTTTGTCTGACGTTCTCATAATCAGATCGAGGGTGTGCATTTTTAGCAAGAATATCACAGAAGTGACACTGTGCTCTCTTCAGTGAATCTTATCAGTGGTGCTCGATATTGTCTCATGACCATGCATGTCCATATTTGCCACTTGGTTAAGGTGGTGTCTGCCAGGATTTTCCACTGTCAACTCATTAGTTTTCCTTTTGTAATTAATAAGTATGCTGGGGGCAGATACTTTGAGGTGATGTAAATATCTCGTTTCTCATCATACATCCTTCCATTCACTAACTTTGATAATTTTAGAATCAATGGTTTTGCCTGAAGCAGTTATCATGGGTGTTTTCCTGGTTCCTTATACTTTTAATATTAAGAATTTGAATTCATCTGTAGGTCAGCGCTTTTCCTTGTGTTTGTTTATTCAACTATTTCTATTAGAATGGATTCTTTATTTTCATCTGTGGATTATACTATAACACCGTTTATTTATTTTCTCGCTCAAATTGTTCCATCTTGGCCATGAAGAGCTCCTTCAGGTTGACACCTTTGTCCTTTTCACATGCCCCCAGCATTGTTTATTTTAGCACTTCCTTACTTTCTGACATCATAAAATGCTCCAAGCTAAACTCCATTTTATCTTTCAAAATCCGAGAATTGACCATTTCTCCAAGAAGCCCTGGTTCTTTTTTTTTTTTTTTTCAGGACAGTATTTAGAAACAAATCTCTGGGAGCCAGGGTTGCTCATTGCTACTGGGGTGTCACTGCTTCTGGGCCTTCTCAGCAGTTAAAGCTGTAAAATACACACACGTGCGCACTCACACTCACACAGTGAGTTCACAAGGATGCCTCCAGGTCCAAACCAGAACCACAGGGCTCATTCTAACCTTCTTCCTTTTTTTTTTTTATAACTTATTTCTCTGACAGGAGCTTTAATATTCATAATATATTTACTTACTTGTTCAATCCTAGTACAAATAGTTTCTGAATTGCTAACCCATGCCTCTGTGAGAAAGAAATTCACTAACCAGAGCACAGCATTCGTGTTCAGTTATTTTTATAATTAACCTTATGGTACACCGTGGAAATACTGTTTTCCAAAGTTACTTAGGTTAATTTTTTTTCTCCCCGCCACTTAAGTTTGGTTCTGACATTTATTTGTCATATAGTTATGTTTAATTGTGATTGTTTGGATTCCATTTCAGGTTCCACCCACCTCCTGGTTGATTTTAATTATGAATTACTTTGTGGGTGTGTGAAAC